AACAGACTCTTGCTGGTCCGACAATAGCCTTAGACAGAGGACCAAGTCCTGGGCTGGGCGCACTCTGGGCTCCTGTGAGCCCTGGGAGCCCTGAGCTGGTTTTGAGTGCAGAGTGAGGGGTTGTCAAGGGTGGAACCCAGGCATGCAAAGCCTGGAGGCCAGCGCAGGGCAGGGCACCTGCCGCCTCGGGACACCGCCGAGGTTCAAAGCCACCTGCCGGTTCCCACCTGCCTGGCACCGGACCCTGTGGGGGTGGGTAGCCAGATGGGGCAGCCCCTTGTCTCCCTGGAACCTGCACCCTCAGAGGCCCAGGATCCCTGGGGGAGGTTCTGGGCTGGGAGACGGCCCCTGGGGCAGGGCAGGGACAGACGGGCTGATTCTGTCTAGGATGGGGGGCACACAAAGACTTCCTGAGGGGCACTTCAAGGCCACAGCATTCTATGTGGGACAGGGATATCAGTCAGAGGCACCCTGTGGAGACCCCCAGGTCCAGTGCCTGGTACTGTGTCTGAGAAGACAGTTGTTCCCTCGCAGGCCGCCAAGGCACCTCACAGTCCTGGCCTGAGTCATTGTGGGGCCCTGGGGGAGGAGGATCCTCTGGGAGGACACTGAGCCTGGACTTTGGGGTGAGAGACCCAAATTCCTCAGATGCTTGGGGCCTCAAGGCCCAACTTCAGCCAAACAAAAGCTGGGGCACAGGCGGGGATCCCCCTCCAGGAGGATGCAGAAGCTGAGCCAGGCTGGCCGAAGCTCCTTACCTGATCTGGCGTCCTCCTGTGCAACGGCACGAGAGCCTCACGGCACAGCTGCTCTCTGTGACACCCCCGAGATACCCGGAGAATGTTCCCAATGACCACTGCTGCGCCACTGCCCGACCATGTCACGGATGCCCCTGCCAGGACTCAGGCAAAACCCAGCTGGCACTGGCACGGCCACCCAACAGCCCTGTAGGGCCCAGTGCTGGACCAGGGCCTTGTCTCCAGCCTCTCCCTCATGGGGTTTCGGCGCCTTGGGACCCTTGAGGGCCTTGCTGCACCTTCCCACCCACTCATCTCTGAACTCAGCCCTAGTGCGAACGCTCACCCCGGGCTGAGCCAGCCCCACCAGCCACGTTCTGCAGCTCGAGAAAGGAACTGCCTTTTGCAGCTGGGATCTGCCCGAGCTTCAGCAGCAGCCTTCAATTATAATGCCGAGCAGCTGGCGAGTAACACAGCACGCAGCACCTAAGAGCCCGGGTGAGACCTGAGTGGGCTGGGCTATGGGATCTCTGGCTTCTGGGTCTTTCTCACAATAGACCCTCCAGGCCACTCTCCCCCACACCCCTGGTTGCTGCACTGGGTTCAGGAGTCCACAGCCAGGTCAGCTGCTGCCAGGGTAGAAGCCGGGACTGCAGACCCCGCCCAAGCCTGGGGTCAGCCTTCCTGGCAGCAGCACCATTTGCTGCTCGGGATCGGCCAGACCAGCTCCCTGCAGATGGGAGGGCTGTGAGGTGAGCACCAGCCAACCCCTGGAGGTTCCAGAAAATGTCAATGTGGGCACCAGGGGGCTTCCTTGGGCTGGCACGTCAGGGGAAGCCCACTGGGTCTGCTCAGTGCCCACAATGGGAGCTGGGGTCTCACCACACGGTGCTGCCCCAGAGCTGCACCCCAGTGGAGGGTCACTGGCTGGCCAAGGTGGGGGATACTGAGGTCAGGAGTTGAGACCAGCCTGGCTAACATAGTGAAACCCTGTCTCTACCAAAAATACAAAAATTAGCTGGTGAGGTGGCAGGTGCCTGTAATCCCAGCTACTCAGGAGACTGAGGCAGGAGAATTGCATGAACCTGGGCAGAGGAAGTTGCAGTGAGCCGAGATCGCACCACTGCACTCCAGGATGGACAAGAGAGTGAGACTCCATCTCAAAAAAAAAAAAAGACTGGGATGATCATCATATGCCAAAATGTTCACAGTGATCATCCTTTGCTGATGGAATTATGGTGGCTTTATGTCTTCACATGAGTTTGTATTTCCACATTTATACAATGACTATGAATTTAATAATTAGAAAAAAATATAGAGGCTGGGTGCAGTGGCTCACACCTATAATCCCAACACTTTGGGAGGCCAACGTGGGTGGATCATGAGGTCAGGAGTTCGAGAACAGCCTGGCTATCATGGTGAAACCCCGTCTCTACCAAAAATACAAATATTAGCCAGACGTGGTGTGGGTGCCTGTAGTCTCAGCTACTTGGGAGACTGACGCAGAAGAGTTGCTTGAACCCAGGAGGTGGAGGTTGCAGTGAGCTGAGATCACACCGCTGCACTCTAGCCTGGGCAACAGAGCGATACTCTATCTCAAAAAAAAAAAAAGAAAAAGAAAGAAAAAGAAAGGAAAAAAAAAATGTAAGGACTCCAGATAATTCACAGATGAGCTTAATTCTGCCCAAAGTGAGCTGGCATTAATGTGCTATAAAGTACAAAGCAGGCAGGGCTCGGCGGCTCATACCTGTAATCCAGCACTTTGGGAGGCCAAGATGGGTGGATCACCCGAGGTCAGGAGTTTGAGACCAGCCTAGCCAACATGGTGAAACCCCACCTCTACTAAAAATAGAAAAATTAGCCAGGTGTGGTGGCGGGCACCCATAGTCCCAGCTACCCAGGTGGCTGAGCGGGGAGAATCACTTGAATCCTGGAGGCAGAGGTCAGTGAGTCGAGACTGTAACACTGCACTCCAGCCTGGGCAACAGAGTGAGACTGTGTTTTAAAAAATTTTTTTATATATATATAAAATTATATTATGTAATATATATAATTATATAATGTAATATATATAATTATATATATATTATGTAATATATATTACATAATTATATTATGTAATATATATAATTATATATATAATATATATATTTACTTTATGCAGCCTCATCATAGCAAACTAATCTAAAAAATACTAGTCATATATCAGAAAGCAGTAACTTTTTATCTCCATTAAGAATGGCAGGGTGGAATCTTGGTCCTGCCTCTGGTAACTGGGCAGTTGTGTGGACGGCTCAATCAGAGGCTATTCCATTTCTCTGTCTCCCTCTGCCCCATCCCTATCTCTGTCTCTCTCTGAGTCACTCTGTCTCTGTGAGTCTCTCTCTGCCTGTGCATTTGTGTGCATATGGGTCTCTCACCCACGCTCACCTGCTCAAGCTCCTCATCTTCAAATGCTCCATCACAAAGGTGGCCCCACCTCTCGGCAAATCAATGACCTTCATGGACCTCAGCGCCTGCACCAGGCCCGTGCCCCGGAGGGCCTCCAGGCTCGCCACCTCCCCGTCAAACATCTGCTGGGCCTGCATCCAGAACACAGCCATGAGCCTTGCCAGCCTTGACTCAGCCAGGGCCTCTGCCCACCGGGCCCTTGACGGAAGCCACCATGTGCAAATCACAAGGACCTTCGGTCACTGATAGCCGGCTGGGAGCTGGCGTCCACCCGCAGAGGGCAGGGTGCAAGAGATATGCCCTATACTGGGTGTGAACTCATATAAAATTCACCCGCTGAGAAAGTATACAATTTGATGCTTTATTAAATTGATACTGTGTGCAAGTTCTCTCTTGCTCATGGGCAGTTAATCCCACTCCCATCTCCAGCCCTAAGCACTGCTGCTATGATATTCCATCTCCATAAATTTCCTGCTTCTTTAATAGAAATGGGGCCGGGCGCGGTGGCGCAAGCCTGTAATCCCAGCACTTTGGGAGGCCGAGGCGGGCGGATCACAAGGTTAGGAGATCGAGACAACAGTGAAACCCCATCTCTACTAAAAATACAAAAAATTAGCCGGGCGCGGTGGCGGGCACCTGTAGTCCCAGCTACTCAGGAGGCTGAGGCAGGAGAATGGCGGGAACCCGGGAGGCGGAGCTTGCAGTGAGCCGAGATCGCGCCACTGCACTCCAGCCTGGGCAACAGCGTGAGACTCCGTCTCAAAAAAAAAAAAAAAAAAATAGAAATGGGATTATATATATACACATATATACACATATAAATATATACACACATATATATATTTGGAATCTGACTTCCTTCATTTAGCATACTATGTTTGAAGTTAATTGATGCTTTAGTACATGTTGGTCGTTCCTTCATAGTCTGCTATATTCATTCATACAGATAGTGTTTATTCATTTATCACTTAATGGAGAGTTAATTATTTTTTTTCTATGATGAGTAATGTAGCTTTGAGCATTCATATACAGTCATGTAATGCATAATAACATTTTGGTCATTATTATTATTTTTTTTGAGACCCAGGCTGGAGTGCAATGGCACAATCTCAGCTCACCAGAAACTCTGCCTCCCAGGTTTAAGCAATTCTCGTGACTCAACCTCCCAAGTAGCTGGGACAACCGGCACATGCCACCAGGCCCGGATAATTTTTGTATTTTCAGTACAGACAGGGTTTTGCTGTGTTGGCCAGGCTAGTCTCAAACTCCTAGTTTCAGGTGATTCACCCACCTCTGCCTCCCAAAGTGCTGGGATGATAGCTGTGAACCACCATGCCCAACCAAATTTTTTTTAAGAAATAAGAGAACTATTTTCTTTTTTTTTTTTTTTTTGTGAGACGGAGTCTCGCTCTGTCGCCCAGCCCAGGCTGGAGTGCAGTGGCGCGATCTCGGCTCACTGCAAGCTCCGCCTCCCGGGTTCACGCCATTCTCCTGCCTCAGCCTCCCGAGTAGCTGGGACTACAGGCGCCCACAACCGCGCCCGGCTAATTTTTTGTAATTTTTAGTAGAGACGGGGTTTCACCGTGGTCTCGATCTCCTGACCTTGTGATCCGCCCGCCTCGGCCTCCCAAAGTGCTGGGATTACAGGCGTGAGCCACCGCGCCCGGCCAAGAGAACTATTTTCTAAATTTCCTTTGCCAACTTATATTCCTACCATGATGCATAGCACTAATGCTGTACAATGTATGGTAGGCCCCAACATGTAAGAAATGATGAAAGTAACACGTAAAGATTACCATAAAACAAAGAAGATTATCATTGTTGCTATCATCTTTATCAAATTCTCAAAACAATCTAAGAGTATATTTTTATATAAATGTGCTTGGCAACATAGCTGAAAAAAAGCATTATCAGTTACATACTTTTATCAGTAACAAAGACAGAAATTTGAAGGGGGAGAAACACTTGTACTCCCAACACAAGGTCAGAACTAACAGAAAAATTCTGCCGGTCACGTTGGACAATTTAATTGCCTGGGGCAGGGTTCTGCAGACAAACGAGCATCTATGGAGCACCTGAAGTAGGGGAATCAACAAGACTTGGGTTTCAAAAGTTACCTGGGTTTACAGCGTGAAACTTGGTTGGAGGACACACACCTTGCGTGAGCGAGGTGCCTCGGTGTGTGTGGACGTGTTGGAGGTACAGCATCATGGTGGCTTCCTCTTGAAAGGGACATTTGGGGTGGATTCATTCCATCTGGACAACACAGTATGGACATGAATGGAGGTGAAATGGACAGTAGCCGAGAGGATCAGTCCTGACAAGGGCCAAGGTGAAAAACCTGGGAAGCCCTTCAGGTGCAAAGTCTTCAGTTGAAAAAGGAAATACTGGACTTCACAGGAAATACTGAGATGGATCAGCAATGCACAGGAGACAGAATTGTTGACCCTGTGAAGTGAGTAGTGTGGATTCTGAAGTTTTCTCCTCTCTCCATTAATTTCTCTTCCAATGGAGACTACTTTGATGGTAAGCTTCCGAGATACCTTGAGCGATCAGATGAGCCTCAGCCCACTCTTGAAAGTAAAGGAAGGCTGCTAGCAAGACTGGCATCTGGGCTTGGCTGTGTGTGTTTTCTATTGTGGAAAAATATACTTAACACAATATTTATCATTTGAACCATTTAGCCAAAGTGTGCATGCAGTGGCATTCAATAGATTCACTTACTTACACTTTAGGCACAATAACAAGGCAGCAAAAGGCCGGTGGGTGATTAGTTCACCACACTTGTTGCAACTATTTGTTCTGCAGAGTTAAAACATACCAGCATTCAACCCATGTCTCCTCTCTTGAAATAAACTGTCCCCATTGCAGGGGGCCTAAATCTCCATTTACAGAACTCATTGACTATTTGCCTCTTCTAGGAGAAGTCCCAGAATGTCAGACTTCTCATGGGAGTATAAGAAGTATGAGCTCCAGGGCTCTTCCCAGCCAGAGTCCACATATTTTCCCCCATGTTTTATGGGTGAAAAGGCCCTTTAGAACCCTAAATTCACCTGGTTTATACTTGTTGCTGGGCTCTGTCATTCTAGTCAAAATCTGGGAGGATGCCACCATATGTAGAGGAGGTCATGAGGGTTTCACCTCTAACATTCTGTAGATATGACCTGTTTATTCTGTCTACTGTGAGCGCCTGACTCTGAGTAGACTTGAGGTCCAAGGATTGTCATCGGCTTTGTTTAATAAATTATGCCAAGCCACAGGAAGAACGATGCACAAATGAGGTGTTTTGTATACGTGTGTTGAATGAATGAACACCAACTAGAGCCTCTCCAGATGTCTGAGTGGGCCTGTGGCTTCTATTTCAGCACCAAGGGACCCCTCTTCTGTCTGTGTCGAGAAGAGAAGCCAGAAGGAATCTGAGACATCCTTTAAAAATGTGGCCACAGATTTGCTTTCTATGCGCTTTTCCAAACACTGAAGGATATGGGCCATTGAGGCAGAATGCTGTGAGCTGCTTCGGTGAGGGGGAAGAGAAAAGTCATTAACATGAATCACGGCACCTAAAACAGAGCTGTTGGTTCAGGGTCCAAGGTATGATTCCTGCCTTATCACAGTTACAGGATTTGAGGGCTGGAAAAGGCCAAGAGATCCTAGACCTCCTCTGTCATCACAGACATGAAGCTGTGGAGGCTCCGGGTGAGGAGCGTTGAGGATAGAAGAGAATCTAAGGTCAGGCTGTTCCCTGGAAAGAGCACCGGGTCCTCCAGGGTGCACCTCCATGATCACTCTCTCCTTTCCTTTCCCAGCGCCACCCCATTTCTGCAAATGGATGCTCAGAAAATTACTTTGCACACTGAAGTCTCTGACCATGAAAGCAACAATCTGCGTGTCGTTTCTCTTTCATGTCTTTTTCCTCCTCTTTCTTCCTCATTTTCTAACTTCTTTCTTATTCATGATATCTTTGCAGCTCTCCCCTATTCCCTCTTTCCCTCTCTTAGGATCCTTGTCCTGAACTGCAGAGGTGAAGTGATGAGGTCCTGAGATAGGACCGTAGAGATGAGGGAGAATTGAGTTCGGAAGCTGGGCTTTAAATTGCCAGGAGCATCAGGGCCCAAGGTGCCGCCTCAATTCTAACCCTACCCTTTCTTTCCCCAAGGCCACCCCGTTATTATCACAGCTCTTATACCTGCCAAGGCATATGATATAGAAGATGAAGTTACAGATACAGAGAACAGCGATCTGCATGTCATTTTCTTTCCTACTAGTGTCTCTTTGATATTCTCTTTCCTCTGCATACATTCCTCTTGGTTGCTGTGCCCCATTCCCTCTTTCCTCTTTTAGGGTCATCATTGTGAAGGGCCTGGTCTCACCCAGGCAGCTGAGGTCCTTGGGTCTTCACTGTCTGTCTATGAAATCTCTCCCAGCCCTCCGCCCACTGTCTTGGCCCTCATGGTGGGATTTCCATGGGGTTGATGAAGACAGGACCACTGGCTGTTTAGGTGCAGCTGGGGAGACTGGTGAGAAAGAACAGTGCCATTGGGTTAGTGGAATGCACATTTGGTGACAGAGGGAAGGAGGCCCTGTGTGGTCCTCAGGAAGGATCATGGGCTGGGGGTATGAAGGCTGTGGTATGAAGCCCTGGTGTCCGACCCCAAGGTGCAGCACTGAATCCTGCTGAGCAGCCCTGAGTGTTCCAGGCAGGGAGCTGGGCTGGAGGTATGAAGGGCTGGGCTCACCATGGTGGAGGGACTCCTGGGAAATCTGGGTCTGCTCTGGGAACCCCTATCACAGGGTTTTTCCTGCACTGGGGCACTCTGGACATGTATGATTCTTCTCTTTCTTTCACAAGTCAAGAAATTCTCTTATTCTCCATCCAGGTCAAGACATGAAGGACATAATAGATGGAGAAGAGAGAGATGAAATGGGAGTGTGGAGCGTGCAGCATGATGAAGGGAAGCAAGCAAGTGCGTGCGGCCCTGTTCCTTCCCTCACTTTCTTACGGACACATCAGAAAAACCAACACATCCCAGGAGAACACGGAGCGGCAGCTTGTGGGTGGCCACACAGGTGCCTTGAGCACCCATGCAAGCCAGTGAAGGTGCCCTGAACTGTCCTCCCACCGCCCAGTGATTTCCCTGTTAAAAAGTACAGGCAAGTTTGGTTGGGTGATTAGAAAGAAAAAATGATCATTAGGGAAAACAAAGAGCTCCAGGACGCTGTCCATGGGATGTGCCGGTTCCTGACCCTATCCTGCTGAGGGTCCTGGTGGAGGGACAGGGTCACCTCTCCCACTCCTGTGTCATCAGACCTCCTGTTCTCTCAGGGCCCAGGTGCAGGGGACTCTACCTGTTCATCCTGGAGCCCTCCCCATTCCTCTGTTTCAGTATCCAGGGCTATTCAGTATCTCTGGAGGGCTGCCCATGTGAAGTTCTAGTTTATTTTGCTCCTTGCAGGACATTTACAGGCACTCTCTGTGGTCACACAACACCCTCAGCAGAGGTCCTGAGAGCAGCAACCAGGCTCAGTGCCCTGTGGATCTGACCCAGGGACATCAGCACCAGGTCACTTTAAGGCCCTGAGGAACCGTCTGGGTCCTGCACACCCAGCCAAGCAAAGCCCTCCTCCCTCCCTCTCTGGCCTCTCCAGTGACATGTGTCTGTGTTGCAGATCCCTGTCCCAACACCCAGGAAGGCCGTGACGTGCAGATCTCTCCTAGGCCCAGAGAGGATCTGGAGTGTGATTCGTTCTGGGGAGACTGAGTCAGACAGGAGCCTGCTTCACCTCATTGAAGGGCAGTTAGTTTTTGAATATTATCGATTTGGGATTAGGTTTAGAATTATATTCTACATTTAATGTTGAACATTTTTACGTTAAACAAAATCTATTGCTAGTTTTCAATAGATTCTATAAAATGTAAGATAAATATATAAATCTGAACAGCTGGCTAAACAAAGGCAGGCCCTGGTGAGCTGTTCTGGGCACTGCACTTTGTGAAGTGTGAATCCCACAGCTCCTCTGTTGGCTTCTTCCAACTCTCCTGCTCTGCCACCTGCTTCTGAGGGTGCCGCCCTGCTCATTCTGTGCTAATGACGTGTAGTCTTGTGCTCAGAACACACATGGAGTAACTGGTTTAGTTGCTCGGTGTGATTCCCATCCCCAGCCACGGCAGGCTGCCAGGATGCTGGTGACGTTCTGTGTGTTTAAACATGTTTATAAGGAACTGTAAGACTGTACACTTAATATCTGAGCACTGCACCATCCTTAAAACAAAACGTATCAACAGAAAAAAATGGCCACAACGCCAACTTCAGAGGCCAGCACAGTTTGGTTCCTCTGATTCCTAACAAATGTTTATGGGAGAAAGGCAGCCAGTCTCCTGCATACTCTTCCAGAGACGAGATGTGGAGACGCATCCAGGCTGCCTTCATCAGATTAGGAGAATCTCGACACCACCGCAGCAGCGGATACAGCAGGGAGGGGCATCTCAGACCAAAGGTTCCTGAGTGTATCTGTCAAAATCTGGTATCAATCTTCAGCAGTCTCGATTCAGACATGCTCGGGACAAACAGCAACTGAAATCTCACGGTGGGATTTGCATGGGGTTGATGAGGACAGGACCACTGGCTGTTTGGGTGCAGCTGGGGAGAGTGGTGAGAAAGAACAGTGCCATCGGGTTAGTGGAATGCACATTTGGTGACAGAGGGAAGGAGGCCCTGCGTGGTCCTCGGGAAGGATCCTGGGCTGGGGGTATGAAGGCTGTGGCAATGGACAGACCCTCTAAGAGGAGTTGTACTCTGCCCCTGTCTTTTCAGAGGTCTGGTGGTGGGAGGAGGAGCTTGTAGAGACTAATTCTCGGTGAGAAATGATGTGAGCACGAAGGTGCACCCTCTGTGCTGGAGCAGCCACTGCCCCTTCTCAGTCAGGCCTGAGCCCAGGCTGCTCAGACAGCTGCTCAGCTCTTCAGTCCATGAGACCCTGGGAGGTTGTGGGCTTCACTCACCAAACCACCCGAGCAGCAACCCAGCCAGCCTCCTGTTCATAAGAGTTTATCAGTTTTGGTGAAACTAATTTTTTGTGATGCTGTCGTAAGGTTGCAGCTGGCTTGCAGCCATATCTGGCTTTAAGAAAGAAACCAGTTCCTCCACTTGTCCTGAGCTCTGAGGCAGTTGGGAGTCAAGCAGCCACTAGTTATTCAGGGCGGTCGCTGGAGCACCGGACACCTCACCTTGAGGCAGCCCACGCTGTGAAGGTGTTGGGGGAGGAGTGACACAGACTGGACGTGCTGATCCTTCAAGGGGCCTCTGTTTGGGATCGGCTGCATCATATTTTGGGTCAGGGATTAAAATGCAGAGGCAGAAGGCTGGGTCAGGCACCTTCCACAGGACAGTAGCTCTTCCCAAAGCAATCCTGGAACAAGATTTGGGAAATGGAGTGAGGGAAGCCCTGGTTCAGGTGCCCAAGGCGAGACCCAGAGGGCTTCTGCTTGATGGATCTTCAGCTCCAGGGAACCAACTTCATTCCTAGCTCCAGCCCATCCCTCCTCAGTGTGTGGCTTTGGAAAATCAGCCCCTCTAAATGTCAGTTTTCAACTGTAAAATGTGGGTCACAGCCCTGCTCTGCCCATCCCACAGGGCTCATATGAAGGTCAGAGGAGATGAGGGCAGATTCCCTTGAGGAGCTATAAGGCATCCTGCCCATATAAAGGCTGGAAAGAGATCTTCCACCTTCCATGTCTTGTAGTCAACCAAGTTTCCTCTCTGGAGGCAACTACTGCTACGTGTCTGTCTTTTTCCTGCAGAGGCTTCACATCTGAACACTTGTATAGCACTTATGAAGTGCCAGTCATTTTTCTTCAGGCTTAATATGGATCTGCTTAGGGTAAGCTTCAGAACATGATGCTAACAGGCAGGCCCCATAAACACCTCCATATCACACAGCAGGGGACTGAGCACAGAGGGGTTAAGTCACTCTCTCCCTTTCCCAGGGTCCCCCAGCTTCTAGGTAGGATCTGAGCCCAGGCCATCAAGCATCTGTCCCTTGCTTTCAGTCACTGAGCTCAGCTGTCCTCCTGAATTGTCTCCTCTCATTGGAGTAACGTCCTGACACAATCGGCCTGTTGTGTATTTTAAGTGCCCACCACACTGCAGACCCCTCCCTCCTAAGCCCAACTTTGACTCAGTTGCTCCCCTAGGCAGCTGGTGAATCAAAGTGTGGCCTGGGAAGGTTGTTAACACTTGTTCATGGTCTCCTGCCATCAACATGTCAAGAGTGGTCTCTATTTTGACCTTTCATCTTTCCTTTTTCTGTCCCTTTTTCCTTTCCTTCCCTCCCTCCCTCTCTCCCTCCTTTCCTCTTTTCATCCTTCCTCTCTCTTCTTTGTCCTTTTCTCTTTCTTTTTTCTGAGTTTCACTTTTTTTTGCCCAGGCTGGAGTGCAAAGGCATGATCTCAGCTCACTGCAACCTCTGCCTCCTGGGTTCCAGCAATTCTCCTGCCTCAGTCTCCCAAGTAGCTAGGATTACAGGTGCCCACCACCACACCTGGCTAATTTTTGTATTTCTAGTAGAGAAGAGGTTTCACCATATTTGCCAGGCTGGTCTTGAACTCCTGACCTCAGGTGATCCACTTGCCTGAGCCTCCTAAAGTGCTGGGATTACAGATGCCCACCACCACACCTGGCTAATTTTTGTATTTTTAGTAGAGATGGGGTTTCACCATATTGGCCAGGCTGGTCTTCAACTCCTGACCTCAGGTGATCCACCTGCCTGAGCCTCCTAACGTGCTGGGATTACAGGCATAAGCCACCATGCCCATCCTTGAATGTATTTTCTGAAGATAACGCCTCAAAGATACAACAAGATCAGGAAGGTTTAAATATGGGATACACTAGAAAAGTGATCTGGGGTCAAGGAACTCTCCTGCCCATTCCCAGAGGCATCCCAGTCAGCACCTGGACAGACAGCAGGTTTAGCCCCGACATCACCCCTGCCAGTTACTGTACTGAAGGCACTGTAGACCTGAAGCCGTTAAAGAGATTGAAGTAGTTGCTGTAGTTTGTACAGCAGGGCCTGAGTTTTGGTGAGGAAGGGTGGGAGTGGTGAGGCACCCACTCAGGGCTGGTGCCACCACTGCCCCTTCTCAGCCAGGCCTGAGGCCAGGCTGCTCTGATCGATAGGCAGTGACACTGTGGGAGCTTGCAGACTTCACTCCTTGAGCCGTCCAAGCACCAGCCCTGTAGGCCGCTTTTTCAGTTAATCCTATTAACTGCCCAGCAGCCTGGTTCAGTCAGTTGGGAGGTGAATCTAATTCTAAGGACAACTGCTGGTTCAGTCAGTTGGGAGGTGAATCTAATTCTAAGGACAACTGTCACATGGGCATTTGGTTTGGAACGTCCTGGGTTCTGAGTCAGTTGAAAGTCAAGGAGGCTCCTGGTCATTCGGAGCAGTCACCTGACCACAGGGAAGCCTCCCCACAAGACAGCTACAGTCAAGTGCTAAGGCAGATAGACAAATCTGGTCCCCCGGGCCTTCAGCAGGGCTTCTTTTGGGGAAAGTCATTACATTTTGGGTCAGGGGTTGAAATGTAAAGCCGGGAGTTGAATCACGATTTGGGCCCTTCTCTTAGGCCAAGCACCTTCTCCAGGCATCAGCGTCTCCCTGCAGCAGCCATAGGGGTGGGAGGATTTGAGAAAGGAGTGAGAAGGGTCCTTGCTTTGGAGTCCAGGGCATGGACCCCCAGTCTCAGGCGCTCAGGGATCTCCATCTCCAGGGAACCAACTAAATTCCCTGCCTTAGCTTCATTACTCCTCAGTGTTGTTACTCTGAGCAAGTCCCTGAATCTAAATTTCAGTGCCCTGAATCATAAAAGTCACAACCGCTACTCTGCCCAGCCCACATCACTTATAATGGATTTTTTTCCATGAGCTGTAAAGCATTATGCCCATGCCATGTGGAAAAGTATGGCCCTGTCCTCCCCTGGCCTTCCATGTCCCCTCTCATGGACCTGTCCTGATGCTGCACATCTTTTCTTCCAAATGTGCAATCATTGAACTTATAAAAAAGACATATATGAAAAACCCACAGCTAACACCATACTCAATGCTGGAAAAAACTCAGATTTCCCCCTACAATTATGAACTAGACAATGTCAGCTTTCATGACCTTAATAAATTATTATAGTAAGAACACCCATGAGACATACCCTCTTAACTACTCTTTGTTTTCATAGTTTTTTTTTTTTTTTTTTTTGAGGTGGAGTCTTGCTGTGTTGCCCATGCTATTGATTTATAGGAGTTTCTTACATATGCTGGAAATTAACCTCACTTCTTCTATTTAGCATAGTATTAGAAGTCCCAGCCAGAGTAATTAGGTAAGAAATAGAAGCAATTCAAAAGCATCCTAATTGGAAAAGAAGTACAAATATCTCTATTTGCCGGGCATGGTGGCTCACCCCTGTAATCCTAGCACTTTGGGAGCCCGAGGCGGGCGGATCACTTGACATCAGGAATTCCAGACCAGGCTGATCAACATGGTGAAATCCTGTCTCTAGTAAAACAAAACAAAACAAAACAAAACAAAACAAAACAAAACAAAACAAACAAAATTCCCCAGGCGTGATGGTGCACATCTGTATTCCCAGCTACTTGGGAGGCTGAGGCAGGAGAATCGCTTGAACCTAGGAGGCAGAGGTTGCAGTGAGCTGAGATCACATCATTGCACTCCAGCCTGGGCAACAGGAGCGAAACTCTGTCTCAAAACAAAACATAAAAAACATTCTATTCAGGATAATATAATCTGGGCTGGGCACAGTGGCTCATGCCTGTAATCCCAGCACTCTGGGAGGCCAAGGCGGGCAGAGCACGAGGTCAGGAGATCGAGACCATCCTAGCTAACACGGTGAAACTCTGTCTCTACTAAAAATACAAAAAAAATTGGTCGGGTGCAGTGGCTCAAGCCTGTAATCCCAGCACTTTGGGAGGCCGAGACAGGTAGATCATGAGGTCAGGAGATCGAGACCATCCTGGCTAACTTGGTGAAACCCCGTCTCTACTAAAAAATACAAAAAACTAGCAGGGTGAGGTGGCGGGCACCTGTAGTCGCAGCTACTCAGGAGGCTGAGGCAGGAGAATGGCGTGAACCCGGGAGGCGGAGCTTGCAGTGAGCTGAGATCCGGCCACTGCACCGCAACCTGGGCGACAGAGCAAGACTCCGTCTCAAAAAAAAAAAAAAAAAATTTAGCTGGGTGTGATGGCCGGGGCCTGTAGTCCCAGCTACTTGGGAAGCTGAGGCAGGAGAATGGCGTGAACCCGGGAGGTGGAGCTTGCAGTGAGCCGAGATTGTGCCACTGCACTCCAGCCTGGGCGACAGAGCGAGACCTGTCTCAAAAAAAAAAAAAAAAAAAAAAAAGAAAAAAGAAAAAGAAAAAGAAAAAAAGAAAGAGATGATATAATCTTATATGCAGAATTTTTAATTTCCACCAAAAAACCACAGTGCTAATAAAGAAATTTATCAAAATTGTTGTGTACAAATTCAATACACAAAGATCAGTAGGAATTCTATAAACAAGCGGTGAACAATTTGAAAGGAAATTAAGAAAAAATTATGTTTACATTAGCATCAAAGAGAAGAAAATACTTAGGAATTAGCTTAACCAAGGAGGTGAAATATGTGTAAACTGAAAACTACAAACATTGCTGAAGGAAATGAAAGAGTACATAAATAAATGGAAAGGCAACAAACACGTTTATGATTTGGATGACTGACTGCTGTTAAAACGACAGTGCTGTACTACCTAAAGTGATCTCTAGATTCAATGCAATGCCTATTCAAATCCCAACAGTACTTTCTGCAGAAATAGAAAAATCCATCCAAAAGTTAATATACAGTCACCAGGGACCCCGATCAGCCAAAACCATCTTAAAAAAAGAAGACCAAAGATTTATACTTCCTAATTTCTTCAAAACTACAGTAATCAAAACAATATGGTACTTCTGTAAGCACAGAAATATAGACCAATATGATAGGATAGGGAACCTAGGGATAAAACCTCACATACATGGTCAAATGATTTTCCACAGGATGCCAAGAACAAGAAAGAATAGTCTTTTTCAACATACAGTGCTGGGTAAACAGGATATCCAGATGCAAAGGAATGCAGATGGTGCATTGCCTAACGCCATATAACCATAACTGAAAATAGATCAGAGATCTAAGTGTAAGAGTTAAAACTCTACAACTCTCAGAAGAAAAGATCAGGAACAAGTTTCATAACATCAGACTTGGCAATAATTTCTTGACGGTGGCACTAAAAGCGCACGCAACAAAAGAAAAATAAATTGGACTTCATCAAAATTTAAACCTTTTGTGTACAAAAGAACTCTACTAAGTGAGTTAAAAGACAATACACAGAA